AGCTTTCTCAGTACATGGGTACCCTGAACTCAGTACTTTCTCTAGGGTTGTTGGTTTAGTGGTGATTTAGAACTTGATATTGTTGTTGTCGTAGAATGTTTGCCTCTATTCTCTTTTCCATTTTTTAACATCCACTCTTCGCAATCGGATGGAATATCTTCATGCATTCGCGATTGTAGGGCTTTTTCTAACAAATAACCATATCATTCCATTGATTCTTGCGTACCTAAATAAATAAAAAACAATCTAAGACTTATTTCAATGCGATGGGTAGAAAAATACCTGTTTGTTCAACATGAACACCATAACTTTTACCAAGCTCTTTGATAGTACCGTATCCATGCTCATCGATATCAATCAATCGTTTTGATTCAACAATGCTGTATTTGGATGGTTCATCGATGTAGACAATACAACAAAACTTTTTTTCTTCTTGTGCGGAGCGTTGTGAACGATAAGGTCGTCGATAAGCATTCGTTTTCGACAACATCTAAAATTATAAAAAAAATTTATCTTAATGTTGTACATATATGAAGCCTGGTTTTTGTAAATTGAGGAATAGAAAGAAAAGATCTTTTTCATTTGAAAGCAAAGCTGTATTAAAAAAGATTTAAGATTATATGATTGAATATTTATTTAATCATGTTCATAATTCAGGCGTCGTTCACTGATACACTCATAATTTTGAAATTGAACTGATATACACTTAGAAATTATTTTACTAACAGGAATAGCAACAAAATCGTCACTGAGAATACAAATAGGATAAAATAGATCTACAGTTTCTTTCAATTCATCTGGAATATCAAGATAATCAGATAATTTGATAGCAGCACGTTGATACTGTTGTATAAATGAATACCAAACATTTTCATACAAATAAAAAACAATAATTTTGGCGTACTCGATTCGTTCATTGTTATCAGTATAAGACGCTAAGTAACTTGCACAAGAAAAACGTTTGCTGTATAAGAACGAATGATATGTTGAAAAATTATCTTTAAAACGTAGATATAACTTTATCTTGTTCAGGTCTTGTTGTAAATCAGCTAATTGTTTTTTAAATAAATCGTGATATGTAATGAATAAATAACTATCAAATTTAATTTCATTTACTAATGATGGTAATGGTAATTTATATTCTGTTGTAGCTATCATAGAATCAATATCACACCAATACATCATTTGTGATCCCAGATTTTTTGTTCCAAATGCTTTTTTTTTAAGATGATTGATCATTGATTCGAAACAGAATGATGATGTGAAAGCTAGTCCTCCATGATCTAGAACAAGAAATCAAATGATTATTGCTCATAATTGTTTCTAAATAATCCGAAAAATTACGATGATAATATTATAACTTACTCCTTACTTGTGCAGGCAAGTGAAGATGAGCATGTAAAGAATATAGTTCTATTTTTTTGTCGTAAATACTTGATGACGTTTTACAATAGTAGTGAATTAGTTTGTCAGCTAGTTGAATTTCTTCTAATGATTTAGGACAATGCAGTATTTTGATAAATAGACCGCTCATTCTCAAAAGAGATACAATTTCGTTTTGTATATAATTAGCATCAAATGACTTCGAAGACAAACTTGTTCAATGATTTCCTAGTCTAACTACTAATCATTGTCATAGCTATTTAATACTGTCATAGTGACCTAAAGATCTTGTAGCGATTTAAACGTGCCATAGCTATTTAAAGGCTTCCACAGCTATTCAATCATTTGTATAGCTATTTAGTCTTTCACATGGCTATTTAAACTTATCATAGCTATCTAGAGATCTTCTAGCTATTTAAAGTTGCTATGACTATTTAATCTTTCACATGGCTATTTAATCTTATCACAGCTATTTAAAGAGCCTATAGCTATTTAAAATTGCTTTAGCTATCTAATGGCTTGCACAACTATTTAATCATTTACATGGCTATTTAATGCTATCACATCTATCTAAAGATCTTGTAGCTATTTAAAGTTGCTATAGCTATTTAAT